ATAAAAAGCCTTTTATCGAAAATTCACATTTTATACTGAACAGTGTTTTGCTGGTTTTGCCGGTTTTGTCGCGGATCTTCGATTGGTCATAGCTTCTTCATTATAACTCGGATTTCAGTGTTCTTTATATTTTTGGAAACCTTGTTACAATCTCTACCACTTTGTTCATCCCAATCACTATTATTGATCAATTTATTTTTGACCTAAATTTGACTGGTGTTACATTATCCCCCCGTTAGAGGGGAATTTGTCCCGAAATAAGTCTAAAGTGATACTCATGGACTAGGGGAACGATGTGGATATTTTCGGTTCATTTAATCTTCCCTTTCCCAAGTGAATTCAGGTCCCCGGTTTGTAATCCAGCGAACCTTCACTAACGGGGTAAGACTTTGCTTGGTTCTTTTGATTTCCCTATCCATGGTTTCTATTGGTTCTATTACAAAGTGTAGACTTTTATTTAACTTGATTTCATCGAGTGAAATAACAAGTGTTTCATCGGATAGACACCTCTTTAGATTAGATATGTGAAAGGTGGGATGAATGTTATTAAGTTTTTGTGGTAGTTTAAGTTTATAAGCTACAAGACCGATTCTGGTAAGAATATCGAATGGTCCTATGTACCTTGAATTTAGTATTCCACGCTTTCTCAAGCGTATCTTGTCCTTCCGGGGTGAGACCTTCATATGACAAGGTCATCAACCTGGAATTCCAAGGGTTTTCTTTTATCGAAGCCGTAGCTTCTCTAATTAACTCTGGAAGCTTTATGTCGCTTCTTGATTCGTATTTTCGTTTTGGTAGTTTCTCGGATGAATTCCAGATCAACGAAGGTGCTGTGTGGAAATTGGACCTCTAGCTAGTTGCGTATTACCTAATTTAGTCTAGTGCAGATAGGATCTGCACTTGCGCCCACAGAAGGCTTAGAATGGAGCAACTTTAAATGCTAACATAGTAAAGGACTCAACTAATTAGTAAATGGGTATTCCATACTTTACCATAGTCGATCGCATATGCTCAAGACTACTCTAGTTCGCGGGATGATTCTGAGTGACTGCCTGAGCTGGGAGATGATTCTATTATCTCAACGGAGATAACAGATTTTAGAACACCGTGCCCTATGACTAATCTCTCCAACACACGTTCTAGTTATCTTCTCTACTTGCCCGTTTCTTCAAAATTGTAGGAAGTGCGCGGACTTGGCTAATCTGTCGAAGATCACCAAAAATGTCATCAAGTCGACATGTTGCCTTGGTAACTTGATTATAAAGCCCATTGTACTCCGCTACCACTTCCACTCAGGTATCTCCGGTTGTTATAGTAAGCCTGCCACTTTTGCTT